TCTTTTAACAAAATTATAATCTATTTTTTAGTACCTTACACATTCAATAAAGATTTAGTAGTTCTTAATCACAAAAAAAAACAAATTTAACCTAGTCATAAATCACTTCTAAATAACTGAGTTCCCCAGAATGTGGGGCCTCAGGACCTCAAAGTTCTCTGTGAGGTGTTGTGACATGATTTGACTTCAATAGCCCTGAAAAGCACAGCAGAAAACATTATTTGAATAATGCAAAATGGTAGAGTCATTTTAGAAAACAGTTTGGCAGTTTCTAATAAAGTTAAGCAGGGAAAACCGGGGAAAACCAAATAAAGGCTGGAGCTTAGTTAAAGTATTGCACTAATCTTAACTTTGTAGTTTTGACAATTATACTATGGTTATATAAGATGTTACATTAGGGAAAGCGGAGTGAAGGTTATCCTAAATAGGAACTTTCCCTTATTTTTGTATGTTTTTCTTTGTACTATTTCTGCAACTCTTCTGTAAGTCCAAAATTATTTCAAGATAAAAAGTTTAGAAAAGAGAAATGTTGGGATTAGGGAGAGTGAACTACCAGGACACCTCCCACCTGCTCTTGGAAGTCTAGGGTTGCATTCATATCTTATCACAATGCTGTGGACATGAGGAAATCACTCTCCAATTGTGGTATGAGTTTTGGATGACCATTTAAAATATTTTGGAAAATTATGGTTTCTGGATGCTTCCAGTGTTTAGACCTTTGGCCAAACTCATCTACTTAACTCCTTTTCCACTATCAGCCGCTTTTCAAATCAGTTTAGCATCTTCATTGTATACTTATGATTTTCTAATTCCAAATGAACAAATCTACTAAATTATCATCAATAAATGATAGTGAGAAACCTAAGAGCTACTCGATTTCTACCACACAGGCCATATGTTGCTAGCCATCTCAATATGCCCCATTTTATTGGAAGAGTCAGCTGTGGAAGATTATAAAGATTTCTCCGTCATTGTTTTAACAGTAATAAACACAAATAATTCTGTACAGCAAAGCTACAAGATAAGTCCAGATAAATAGGTTTAAAGTAATCACTGTTCTTATAAATTGTAGAAATCACAATTATGAGTTCATGGACTTTGCCCTCTCCCACCAAAAATCAATTGTACTAAAACTGTGTTTAAAAACTGAAAAATAGAATAAGATAAAAATTAAAATACAGGTTATTACTTATATATATATATGGAGATTCCACAATATAAATTATCTATGATAAGATTCAACTAATTATGAGATATGATCTGCATTATGCATCCACCATTTCCTTAAGTTTCATACTTTTTATACAATTATATTTATGAAATATCTTTAATATTGGAACTTATGCAAGAAATATCACTGTTTTTGAGATACTATCCCTTTCTCCCTTTATGCCCACTAAAACTTAACAAGAGGTTTCTTTGGGACATAACTATTGTGCCACAGCAGAACAGACTATATAAGTATGAACAGATAAATGCTATTCTTTCAAGGACTGAGATCCAGCACCAATCTTTAAAAGATTAAAATTGAATGGGAGAGAATAATACCATTCCAAAGCACTTGAACCTGTGATGAGATAATCACTTTTATTACTTTTAAATCTCATCTCAAAAATTTACAGAAGTTGAAGAAAGTTGGAATTTGCTCCTGTGATTTCACATCATTATAAATAGAACATTATCTTCATTTGAAAACTGTAACTACCCTATCGGTCACTATTTTTCTTCTGATAGTTCATATCCAAATTCTCAAGTGTACCTACCTGGCGATTCAGGCATGGTTTCCAGGGAAGATGTGCTGGACTCGCAAGATGAATCAGACGGTATGTTAATTACTTCAGGGGTTTCTCGTGGTCCATATTGCTCAACATCTGCAATATCAACTTGATTCTATAAATTTCCAAAAGAGAAAGCAATGACATTTCATTCTGGAGTTAGAGATATAAACAACAGGAAAACACAGGCAGAACTCAAACTTCGATGCATTTCATATCACAATTTCTAACATTGCTGCAATCAACTGAAAAGCTAACACAAAGTCATTATCAAACATGTCCTTGAAAAATATTGCTGGAGTATAACAACAAGCAGAGATTATGGATGCCACAACGTATACATTGCCAAACTAAACAAGAGAAGCACAGTGCACATATACTGAAAGCATAAGCATTGGAAATGTTTATAGTTCAAAGGCCATGGCAAAAAAATTATGCCTTTCAGTGGTGTTGGTAAGATGCTATCATTGTAGTAGCAAAGGATGGCAGTCATCTCATCTTCCTTTCCTCATTATTAGAATCAAACACACTGATTTAACACATTGACTGCCGTGTGAGTTGTATTTAACTCAGGCTAGTTTTGAGCCCAGAGCCTCATTTAGCAAAACCCTGCAGTTGGTTTATGAAAATCTTACTTGTTGATGTACTCATTGTTACAATTAATATTGACAATTTAATTCTAAAAACATGGATTGTGTTGCATAGAACTCACACACAGAAAACAATAAAAAATAACAAATTCGAAAGGATTGTTTTGTTTTAATAAAACATGTTGGGAAAAAATTTTATTTTCTAGTGTGGCAGTCAATGTGTTAAAGAGAACTGCCACAGCAGTGGAGGAGCTGTACAATTACTGATAGGGCCATTTTCCCAGAGCTCCTGCACATGCAACCTAGGCTTAGAGCAAGAAAAGGCCAACTGGGGGCTGTTTAACAACTACCCCATGTTTTTTAGGCAGATTATGTTGAAAGTATTATTAGCAAAAGTACTTTTAGCAGAGAGGTGAAAAGGCCCCTGAGAATTTCGAGTGCAATGTTCTCATTCGATAGCGTCAAAGAGGTCAAAGGCTATACAGCAAGTTAGGAGCAAAGCAAGAGACAGAATCCATTAAAGCCCAACTCGGTGCTCTTTTCCCTAAGCCTGGCTACCTTTATTTAAGCCATTTGCTTCTTTAAACCATATACAAATTATATTTCTATTGAGTGATCCAGTTTGATTTCCTTAACAACTGGATTCTTTTTGAATAGTTTGTGGATCACGGCTCACATGAAACTTAAGTTTATCCGTAAAATCTTGTAATTCTCTGCCAAAATATTTAGAGATTTTTGTTTGTTTGTTTTGGACTGGCTTAAGACATAGACCCATGCTGATTTTTCTGCAAGGAACCTGTTTGTTGGATCTCATTCCAGCATTTGAACTTCAGGAAATTGTGCAAGCTCACTGTTCAAGTGATTATGTTTTGTACTCCTTAAAATAAGTGATACGTTGCTGGAGATCTGGGAATCTTTTCATTATTTAGATACGTATCATAGTGAGGTGGTATTCACTGAGATGGGATATGACCTCTCTCTGTCCTCTTCCTTTTGTTCTTTATCATAGCCATCTATTGATTTAATCACTCATCCTTGCTTCCTGGATGATTTTCAATAGAAATTTATATACCCAGATGTTAAGATGTCCATTTTTGTGTGTTCGTATGTTTTAGCTTATCAATATAAAATGTAGTGAGTTTGAATGAATTTAAATGACAGAATCACGTGCAGTAATGGTAATTGGCCTGAAAAAAAAATAAAGCCAAGAAACTACTTCGGAAGCAAAACGACACCAGTTTAAAATGCAATTAGGACTAAGGACTGAAGATATCTTTTAAGTGAGGCAGCCAGAAGTCAAAAAGAAAAATAAAATGAAAATGCATACATGGGGACTGGAAGGCTTTTAATATGCTTTTACAGTGTTGAAAGGAGTTTTGGATTCACCTTTATTACATAATTGTCTCCATGAACAGTATTTAAGAGATATGAAAAGAGAGTCATGGCTTTTGAGGCTGGACATAGAGTAGGCTTCAAATGCAGGCTCCAATACATGATGGTTATGTGAACTGGAAATGAGTGTGTGTGTGGGGGGGTGGCATTCAAAAAGTATGTCCCCAAATCTTCATATTTTCCCTGTGGTAGCTTAATGTCATAAATGCTCTGGCCAATTTTTAAGAGATTCTTGCATTTTAGATTTTGAGGGGAGAAAAGGACATAGGGGTTCCAATCAAGACAGCAGATTGAATAGACATGGGGAAAATGGGGATAAAATACAGCAGAATTTTTTAAATACACTGAGTTTAAAAATCCTCTTAAGAAAAAAATGGTAGACTAGAGGCAGCCTGCCAGCTCGCAGTTCCCAAGGAAATAAGGGAAAGGTGCAGGCAGCTGCCTACATATGGATCGCTTGTCCCTAAAGCAGCATTGTGAATTCACAGAGAAGCAACACAGGACACTCAGTGTGGAAAAAACAGTGACATGGTGCTACATATAACAAGATCAGAGAATGTGAGGGGAACAATAGGAGAATAGAGCATGGGAGTGCCGTGCTCACCCTGCCAACATAATGTAGACTGAACTGCAAGACTGCTCCCACCACCCCCACAGACCTCCTACTTGCTCAGACTGGGACCTGCCTAGAGTCTGTGCAGAGCTATTGCACTAGACAACAGGTGCTGTGGGGATCAGGCAACAGCCAAAGCCATCCTGAACTCTTGGGTGCACCACGCCAGTTCTACACTGGGCTGGGGAGGGAGTGGACTGACTCATGGCTTCCCTGAGCCATATCCTCAAACTTGAGGCCAGGCCCTTCAACCCTAGAGTGTAGCAGGACCCGGGCACAGGAATTGACCAGAGAGCAGCAAGCCCCGAACTGAGAGGCTTTAGGCGACCACTTTGGTGGGTCCTAGGTTGGGTGTGAAGAGCTGTGACCTCTGCATGCCTGATCTGGCATCCGTGGGACCCTTGTGCCTGAGGAGCAGCCTGCTGCTTACTCTCCCTGAATCTGCACTCCAGGCCCTAGCTGCCTCTTGCCTGCCTGGCCTTGATCCTGCCCTCCAGGACTGATCAGCTGCCATCTTCACAGCCCTACTTCTGGCTCATAGTCCCTGCTCAGAGGCTTTCCTTCCAGGTCTACCCCAGTCCCAGCTCAGAAGCTCTCACTCAGTAGCACAGTGGGCTGTGAACTGAGAGGCTTGGGTGGCCTCTTTGGCAGGCCCCAAGAGAAACGTGGAGAGCCCCGCAGTCCCTGAGCCGCCAGAACCAACCACAGCCTGCCTGACTTGGCATTAGTAGGACCCCAGCCACCTGCCAATCAGCCTTCTGCTTGCTCACCCTGACTCTGCCCTCTGGGCCCTGATTGCCTCCTGCCTGCTTGGCCCTGACCCTGCCCTCCAGGTCAGATCAGCCTGCCATCTGCACAGCCCTGATTTTGGCTCAGAGAGTTTGCTCAGAAGTTCTTCTTGTGGCTCCTCTCCAGTCCCAGGTCTGAGGCTCTCACATTGGAGTCTGAGCCTCCACCCCTGTGATTCCAGAACTTCGACCAGGCTGGAGACATGATCCCCAAGTCTCCAGCACTGCACCTGGACCGTAAGACCCCATCCCAGAACCTCCACCACCAAAGTAAGGCTGGAAGAACTGCTCCAAAGTCCAACAGCCCACCAGGGATCCCCAAGCTTCAAGCCGCCAGCACACTGTGACCTACTTTGAGCAAACACCCACTACCCAGGAACCCGTGGCAACCTTATTCTGCTGCTGTGGTTACCTCACTGGGGAGACCCTGGGTAGAGCACCCCTCACAACACCAGCCTCAGTGAAGAGAGTCTCATCCAGCTCCCAACTGGAACATCCTACAACTATCTGGAGAGTTCCCAGCAAGGAACAGGAGTACTGCACACCTACTAACCCAGCAAACAAATCCTGGCAACATGAAAGATCCAAACAGATCAATACCCCAAAGGGATCGCAACAGAGCTATAGCAGTGAACTCCAACTACAAGGAAATTGTTGAAATGACAGAAATGTAATTCAGAATATAGATGGCAAATAAGATGAATGGAATTGAAGAGAAATTTGAAAATCAACAAAAAGAAGCCCAAAAAATATTTCAGGAAATTAATGAAAAAGTCACTAAAGAGTTTGACAAAATTAGAAAGGATATAATAGAACTTAAAGAAATGAAAGAGTCATTCACAGATTTTCAAAATGCAACAGAAAGTTTTGGCAACAGATTAAACCAAGGAGAAGAAAAAATATCAGAGCTTGAAGACAAGGCTATCAAGCTAATCCAACCATTTAAAGAGGCGGAGAAGAGAACAAGGGCAGAGCAATTACTTAGAGAGATATGGGACTACGCAAAGTGAAGAAACATACAAATTATAGGTATACCTGAGGGAGAAGAAGAAAGTGCTAAAAGCATGGAAAATCTATTTGAGGGGAATTATTGTGGAAAACTTCCCCAGTATTGCCAGAGATCCAGTCATCCAGATACAAGATGATCATCAAACTCTGGGAAGATTCATAGCAAATGGAACATCTCCAAGGCACATAGTATTCACCTGGCCAAAGTGAAAGTGAAAGAGAAAGTTCTACAAGCAGCTAGACGTAAGCAACAACTGACCTACAAGGGAAAACCAATCAGGATAACACCAGACTTCTCAGCCCAGAACCTTACAGGCAAGAAGGGAGTAGGTCCCCATCTTCAATCTTCTCAAACAAAACAACTGCCAGCCTAGAATTCTGTATCCTGCAAAATTAAGTACCACATTCAATGGAAAATTTAAGTCTTTTCCAGACAAATAAATGCTGAGGGAATTTGCCAAGTCCAGACCTGCCCTGCAGGAAGTACTCAGACCTGCAGTATACATGGATCAACACAATAGATGCCCACCTGTGTAAAAATCCCCAAAAGATAAAGGTCAGAACCCATTCACCAGAGTGGCTCAAGAGGTAAAACAGCAATAAAGTTCTACTCAACAAGAACAGAAATCCACTCCACTTATCAATTTTTTCAATAAATGTGAATAGCTTGAACTTCCCACTCAAGAGACATAGGCTGGCTGAATGGATAAAAAAATATAAGCAA